TGCTACGAGTTAAGGAATTTTCTTCATAAACAGGGATTTATTGATATTGAAACACCCATTTTAGCCCAAAGTTCTCCCGAAGGTGCTAATTGTTTTGTGGTTCCCTCTAATTTAACAAATCGCCACTACACTTTGCCCCAGTCCGCCCAAATATTTAAGCAGTTATTAATGGTGAGCGGTTTTGATAAGTATTACCAAATCGCTAAAAGTTTCCGGAATGAGGATGCTCGTAGTAATCGGCAAATCGAGTTTTCCCAATTAGAGTTGGAAATGAGTTTTATTACTTCCCAACAAATTAAGTTATTTATTGAAAAATTTTTAAAAAGTGTTTTAAAAAAAGTTTTTGGTTATCAAATAAAAACTCGCTTTCCTACTTTGACTTACCAACAAGTAATGAAAAAGTATAGCACTGATAAACCCGATTTACGGAAAAACCTGAAAAATAAGAAAGAATTGAGTTTTTGTTGAATAACTGATTGACCGCTTTTTGAGTACAATCAGGAAACTAAAAAATATGAGCCTTTTCGCCATCCTTTCACCACCCCGCAAAAAAAGTATATTGAACCTTTATTAAGTAACAAAATCAAGCCAGAAAAAATAATCTATGAGGCTTTTGACTTAGTTTGTAATGGCGAAGAATTATTAAGTGGCAGTATTCGTATCCACCAACGGGAATTAGGTGCCAAAAATAAATGAACTGATTTATTTAACCAAGCCCAAGCAATTTTACAAAAATCCAGAAAAAACATTACTGAACGAGTAAAAAAAGATATAAAAATAATTCAAGAGCAGATAAAAAGTTTCAAATCCGGGGCTAATTCTTATCTAACCAGTTTTTATCAGAATGATAAGTCCAAAATTGAAAAATTAGAAAAAGATTTAGAAAACATTTCTACTTCAAACACTACTCAATCACCAAAATCAGGTTTCTTCCGTCCTAGGGTAATGGTTCCCTTGGCTTTGGCTTTAGTATTAGTGACTACACTTGCGATAGTAGTAATAAGGAGAAGAAAACAAAACAGCTAAAAGTTGTTAAAAAATAGTTGACATAAAGATTATGATTGATAAAGAAGGGAGAATAAATAATTCTCCCTCTAATATGTATTTTAGGTAATGTTATGAGTTTACTATAAATAGATATTGGATTAAAATGTTGAAAGAAAAAACTAATAAGGTGGAAAAATATTATACTAGTGTTATTCCTTATGAAGGTACCAATTATGCTGATAAAGAATTAGCCTATTTTGCCAAGGATAATTTTTGAACCAAAAGTTTTCCGACCACCGCTTCCTCCAAATTTTTGGCTAATTTTTGAACTAGTCAGAATGCTTTTGTGGTTGAATTATTAGAGAAAAAGAAAAAAATATTATTAGGAAAAACTGTGCTCGATGAGTTTGCTTGTGGTGGTACGGGACTTTACGCCGCTACGGGACCACTTTTTAACCCTTATAATTCTTCTGGCATAGTGGGTGGTTCTTCTTCGGGTTCGGCGTGAGTGGTAGCCAAAAATTTAGTTCCTTTTGCTTTGGGTCATGATACTGGGGATTCTATTCGCCGTCCCGCTTCCTATTGTGGAATAGTGGGATTTAAACCTTCTTATGGTTTACTTTCGCGGGCCGGTGTCATTCCCATGGCTTCTTCTTTGGATACGGTTGGAATTCTGGCCCGAAAAACACAAATTATTAAGTCGGTGTTGGCTATTATTTCCCAAAAAGATCCGCACGACCTCCTAACCGAAGCACGCAGAAATAACACATTGTCTTCCAAAAATAAGAAAGTAGCGGTTGTAAGCGGAATAGAAAAATATTTGCCAACTGAACTAAGTGAGTTGTATCGTAATACTATTGAAAAACTGGAAAAATCAGGATATACAATTGAAAAAATAATCATACCAAAAAAAATACGCGAGCATCTCCAAATT